CTATCAAGCTTAAAATTAGTCTCCCTTCCATTTTACTTCCTATAACAAGTACTCATAATAGATTCTTCCTCTTGATCTCATTTCCCTTCATTTACTTATAATCTATATGATATACGGAGTACTACGTAGAGTAGTTTTTTTCATTTACTTTCTCTTCCTTTCTTTCCTTTTTCCCCCTTTCTTTCTTTTACTAAACAAACAAAGCCTTGATAAGATTGGGGTTATATTGTTACGTTGTAGCCGGTGATTCGGGCAAATGGTTTAGGTAATAACTTTAAATTTATTCAAATCTCGAGTTGATATTATATTATTGTTACACTCTGTCTTCAACTGTATATTGTTACAAACAATTCCCAAACACACAAATTTGATCATTAATGTTTATAGACTATCTATCAATAAAAATTACAATTGCAATACTTGGTATTTCTATGAATAACAGACAAAGTCAAAGCAATGTGTATATATATTTATTTTTGTAAGAAACAAATAGCTTACAAATATATATACGAGTAATGTACATGAAGTATAGTCAATTTCAATATTTCTTACCGTAATTGATATGAGCTAGCTTAGGTTAAGTTTCATATCAAATAGTTATAGTGAAGATATTACAATCATAATACGAAATATGATCAACTCAATTTGAATCGGATATAATTTTTCTTATCTTATAAAATTTCAGATCAAGTTTGAATCGGATCATACTTAAGATGACACATTACATACAAGTATGCACACCACAATGGTGGGACAATAAACATAGTAGTTTGACATTTGTACCAAGATGGTAAGGTCCATGAGCCGTGGCAAGTGTTGAGAGCTTGACCCTTACTCAAGCTCATAAGGTTCGTTGCCTCGTTGGTGTAGGATATCTTATACTCTTATAGTATTCATGTTACACTTATTTAATACAAGTAAATCACTTTCACCAAACTACAAGATTACGATAGCTGCTAAGTGCTAACTAAGAGGCTAAGCTAGAACCTAAAGAACGGCAATTTGTTAATATTTGAGGGTTGAATATTCCAAAATTTCTCAACTAACAATTAATGTTTGTGGAAATTTTGTATAATTAGTATGCTTTCTTTCTATTTTTGACATGTACATATACTCAATAATTCATCTACGAATATTGTGTATAAGTAGTAGCTTGTGAGTTTGTTTTGTATTTTTATTTGGTGTTAATGAGGTGATAGAATTTGAAACACAAAATAAATATGGCAAATGCTATATATAGCCCTTATAAGCATTAATTACATATTTGATTCTCTTATAGTTTCTAGAAAATACTTAATATAACTGATCAATTGATTTACCCAATTACATAATAAATGCTATTCACAACAATACTAATAATTACAATGAAAATACATGTTCCCAATAAAAAAAACTCAATCATCCTGCCTCAGTTTAGCTTCCCAGAACAGTTATATTATGTACAAAACAATACCGCATAATATTTTATCTATGGTGTTTCGACAACTGCTCGTGTTTCCCCTTCAATTCAAGGTATTACTTTTGCCAAAAGTCTAATTTTTTTTATTTTTTTTAATCTTCTTTTGCATAATTGTATAACTCAAGGTTATAGAATTTGTTTGAATTTGTTTCTCCATAATCCCAATTCAATGAAACCCATATGATGAGGTTTGGATGAGAGGTGATTGATTTGAGAGTTGAATTTTAATGAAAATACACATTGAATTAACTTCTGCCATATTGAATAATACCCATGTGATAACATGAAATTTGCCCTAATTTTTTTGACGAATTTTATAAGGTTTATCAATTTGGGTAGTACTGTAAAATTTTGGGTAGTAATATATACTTTCCTATATACTATGTATGCTATTGTGATGATTTTTAAGAAGATTCTATAGCTTTTGTTTGAGATTTTTCTAATTATTATGCAATAAGCTTTTTTTTAATAAAAGACAACTTATTTTCATGTTTACAGAATTTACAATGCTTGATGTTGATTTGAATGAACCTTTGATTGAAGAGGAAAATAATGATGATGAATCTTTTATTGGCCAAACCTTTGAGAGTCAAGAAGAGGCATACGTCTTTTATAACAAGTATGCTAAACAACATGGTTTTGTTGTTCGTAAAGATCGTTCGGACACTAGGCATGGTAGGACTATCAGACGTGATTTTTACTGTCATTGCGGAGGGAAAAAAACTTTGAAGATAGTTGATTTTTCTAAACCTCAAAGAAATAAGGAATCATCAAAATGTGATTGCAAAGCTCATATGCGAATTACATTGAAAAAATGCTTTGATATATTTCCAGAAGAATGGCATGTCACTAAGTATTCCAAGCAACACAATCATGTAATGTTGCCACCCTAAGCGATGCGTTTTCTCCCGTCAAACAGGAACATTAGTGGTGAAGATGAGAAGAAAATTTTGTTATTAAAAGAGGCAGGACTAACAGTTAGACAGATAATACGAGTCTTGGAGCTAGAAAAAAATGTTGGACATGGTGAACTACCATTTATTCAGAAAGATGTTCGCAATTTGTTTGGTCGAGTTAAGAGGTTGCTTCGAGCTAATGATTCCAAGAGTCTTTTAGAGTATATGAAATCTGCCAATGAGGAAAATAATAAGTTTCAATATGCTTATACAGTTGATGGAGAAAGGAGGTTAGAAAACATATTTTGGTGTTCGGCTGAAAGTTTTGATTGGTATCAAAAATATGGTGATGTAGTCGTGTTTGACACCACTTACAAAGTTAATGCATATGACATGCCTTGTGGAATTTTTGTTGGAGTGGACAATCATGGAAGGACTATTTTATTTGGGTGTGCACTCCTCCGCAATGAAACAACTTCTACTTTTTCATGGTTAATGAAGGTATAAACTTAATATATGTAGTTTTAATTAGCTTACAATCTTAATTATTATTGTTAAGCTGGTATAATAACTTGGATTTATCTGTATATATTATTTGCATGTATAATTGCTTAAAGATAATAATGTCTATCTATGTATTATTTTGCCAATGTCTATCTTATACTCTGTAGTTCATATTGACAAATAGTATTACTTATTTGACTTCAATTATATTTTTATCATGTGTAAAATAGACTTTTGTTCGTATAATGAAGAGTGCCCCAAAGACTATCATCACTGATCAAGATCCTTGGATGTCTAAAGCAATTGAAAATGAAATGCCAACCACAAAACATAGTTATTGTATATGACATATCACATCGAAATTCAGTTGTTGGTTTGCAACACTTTTACGAGAGAATTATCAAAAATGGTGTGCTGATTTTTACAATCTTTATAAGATGACTATCACAGAAGAATTTGAGCGTAGTTGGACTTTGATGATTGCGAAGTATAATTTGCAAGAGAATAAACATGTTCAAGGCTTGTATAATGTGAGATATTTTTGGGCCCCGGCTTATCTCAGAGATTATTTTTTTGGAGGCATGATAACCACCGGAAGATCAGAGAGCATAAACGCTTTTATTAAGAGATTTGTTTCCTCTCATGTATCTTTGACAGACTTTGTGAAACAGGTTCATATTCTTCTTCTTTAAATTATATTTCAATACTATTTTAACTATTTCTAATGTTCATGTTACAACTTGTCATTTTTAGGTAGCCCTTGTTGTTCAAGAAATTTGCCAAGGACAATCACATAGCAATATGGTTGCTACTCTCAGACCCATTAGCATGAAAACAAAGTCACCATTGGAAGGTCAGGCTTTTGAAGTCTTCACTTCATTTGCTTTCAAAAAGTTTCAAGATGAATTAATAAAAGCAAGTCAATATTCTATAATCCAAATAGAAGGTAATGTATGTACCGTAAGATATTATGAAGGGGAAAAGGGTATAAATCGTAGAGTTTTTTTGGATGGAATAACAATGTCATGCAGTTGCAAAAATTTCGAATTTTGGGGTATAATTTGTCGTCATATATTTCGAGTGTTGTTGCATAATGATTGTTTCAAGATCCCTTCCTCCTACCTACCTCTACGATGGCATTGTGATAGGTTGCAACCTACAGTTGAAAATCAAGAAATAATAAGTGAAGCCATGATATTGGAGGAAGAATCCGAAACTGTACACAATGACATTGGAGTCGGTGGAGATGATGTACTGTGTCCCCCTAAATCCAAAACAAAGGGACGTCCACCAAAGAAGCGTGAGAGGGGTGGAAAAGAGTCCGGAAAGAAGAAAACTAAATGTTGTTCTATATGCAAGCAACCCGGCCATACTAAACCAACCTGTCCTAATAAGGAAAATATATTTTCTTTGAATGATACGAATGAAGGTACTTCTTCTGCAACACAAAAAAAACAAAAGAAGATGGCAGCTGATTTAGGATTAAATCCTATTTTTACTTTGAAGTTTTAGGTATGCCATATTTCTTTACTTTTAAAAAATTTTCAAATTGTTTTTTACCTAATATTCTTCTTTTATAATGTAGAGATTTCTCTTTTGTACTTTGACAGGTGGTCTCATTGAAAAATTATGACAAAAGACGTCTACAAAAATTTTGGACATCAAGATGTGTCATGAAGACGAAACTTTGTTTTTTATATTTTTTTTGGACGGTTGTAACCGGTAGATTAAACCAGAAATGTTTTTTTTTTAAGAAAGTGGAAAACAAATTATGTGGAGTTTATAATCAGTTTTACAATATTATGTTAGTGGTTTTTTAATGTCTTCCAAAAATACTTAGTTTCAATGCATTATTAAATGTAGTGTCATGACAATTTATTCTATCAACAACACTACATTAAATGATTATTTTTTTTAATTCAATAATAATGTTAGATTCCATTGGAATAAGAAAACAAACATTAAATCTATGAAATTGCTGTTTTTTATGCATAGCCCTTAGGGCTATGTATAGCAAAACCCAATAAATATTACCGGAGAATAATACTAGTGTACCTCCGTTAAATGTTATGTGCAACTTTGGAATAATTTGTACATCACAAATATTACCTCAAATTGCACATAACAATTAACGGAGGTAGTATATAGCTAGCCTACATCACTAATTACATATTTACATGTCTATAAAAATAAAGATATACAACTTATGAGAATGAACATGTATTGTACATAAAAAAATAATTGTCGTCACTTTAAATAAGTTTTAGTTCTCATAAAAAAAATAAAAATAAACACCAAGCATGACTCGAACATTCTCTAGATAACTAATCTCGAGACTAACTACAAATACAAATCAGTAATTTTTTTTAGTTAAAGAGAAAATCTGACCATAAATCAACCTCACAATTTTTTGGATCCCCTACCGGACTACCGGACAAATACTTTGAAAGAGGGCAGCCCCTAAACTTAGGAGAGGAACCAAAAGCAAAGGTACGGAGTACTTTATACTCAAAGTCCATAGAATTTTGAATTTTCTATAAAAGGGGACGAGAACTTGTCACCAACAGCTAGATTAAAAAACCCATCACGCAATTTGCACAAAATTTTAAAATAAAAATAAAAATAACCCATTCTTTTTATCAGACTCACTTCTCCATTTCTGCTACAAATTACAACAACTACTACCCAAAAATACATAATTTTTTCCGCATTTTAATTTCTTTTCATTTTTCCCAGGTTAGTACTTTTAGATTATGTGATTATTATTATTTTTTTTAATTTCAATGTCTTAGAAAATTATAAAGCTTTAATCTTTGTTGTTGTTTGTTTTTTTTTGCCGATTTGATGAATCAATGTTGTTCAAGAAACTAATTTGTTTTGCATGGGTGAAAATAAAGTTGCATTATTTTCTTTCTAAAAATGTAGTTGCACTCTAATTATGAAAAGTATATAGTGTATAAATTATGAAATGTTGATCAATTCTTGTTTGTTATTAATCGTATGATTACTAATTTGATTAATAACAATGTTGGCAAAAGAAGTTATTGAAAACCTTAAATATTTGGGTTTAACTTGTTCAACTTTCTTTTATTGGAAATGAAATGCAAATGATATTTTTAATTAATTATTTTTTTTTCTTCTTCTGGGTTTTATTTGTCTATTTAATATCATGTTATAAACCCTTTTGTACAAATTCTTGATTCACATAGTCGACCCTGTATTTCCTTTAAAATTATTGACAATTTTGTTGATATTGCCTGAAATAAGTACTTTCAATTATCAAAATTGTAGGGTTATTCAAGAAATCTTCAAAGCCTTTGACTTTTTTTAATTAATTAAAACGTGCAACTTGTTTCCCTATTGAGATCATTGTTTTTGGCTACATCAATGTGTTTGGTGAATTGATTATGTAAGCTTTAATAAATTAAGTTTAAAGGGTTAACAATGGTATTGTTGCTTATGCTAGTTAACTGCCCTTTCACTATCAATTGTATATATTTCTATGATATGAAAGTAACTTGTTAAAATTTTAATGTAGTTCAATTTCGTCCATTGTTGCATTAAATCTCAACCACCATTACTTGGTTTTTCAACTTTTTCCCTGTATCTTTTGAGATCAGGGCAGTTGGGATAATGAGTAGAGTTAGCTATGTTACATCGATAATTAATATCGACTTTTTCTTTGAATTGTTGCATAAGTTGTCATTTTCTCGTTTTGTGAACTTTGTGTTGGTGTTTATATAGGTGGTTTGATTGTAATATGTAGACTTCAATCGGAGTCCTAACAAAGATTTAGTGAATGGCATAATAAGAAGGTATAAAATCTTGCTTGCTAAAGAATTAGCTTAGTTAGGCTGCCTTGATAATCTTGTGGCATAGAAGTATAAGATCCTTGACTTGTCACTTTTGTACTAGACTAGATATGAGAAATCGTTCTTTTTACAGTGCTCAAATGTTCACCTCTTAAAATTTGATGGTTTTATGATTCTTGGCCAAGTATATTCACTGATTTCAGATGTTTAGTTCAGGCATATTTCAGATCAAGTTGGTGTAACCGGCACAATCTTAAGGCTGTATAGAAAGTTAAATCAGTGGTCTGAATGTTGTTATTATAAGTCTTCTATTTGGGTGATAATTGTATGGAGTAGAGAGTATACACACAGTGAAGAGATTTTCTAAGGCTTTCTTTGTTTCACTGTAAATCTGTTTTAGGCAATACAAATTCATGTGAACAATATGGTCTAATACAGGATACAATAATAGCAACATTGTGGTGTAAATCTTCCTGTAGGCAGGTGCTTTGTGCATAGACGGATTTGGAAATGACCTCTTCTATTATGACCTTTAGATTTTTCTTTACTTTTCTGTAAGTCACAATTTATTACCCCACATAAAGACTTTGCTCTAATGCGAACAAGAAGTAAAAGTTGATAAATAATAGCTGGGCATCTGTTTTCATTTACTTAAGCAGACTCTCCTCCAACACAAGCATATTTTACTGTGTTTAGGCCCATCGAAGATAAATCAGAGATATTTGGAAGTTAATTGTGGCTACAAATTTGCTGAGCTGATAGATAATAATGTGTAGTTCTTAGAACACATGTTATTAATGATTCATCACCCTGAATCCCATACCCTTGGTTGTGGAAAGCCTTCACTCATCTGAAATCAGCTTTTATGTTGTGCGTGTATGTGTGTGCACTCCTATTTGTCTTGAAGCATGCACAAGTACTGTGAGATCATGATCGCTGCCTAGGCATCTGCTACACGTACTAAATATTCACTGATAGTTCTCATTTCCTGATAATATTTTCCATGCTGTGTTTTTGTAGATGCACAATTACATTTGTTTAGCTTGATGTTTGCATTGTCTGTCATGTTTCCTGACTTCCTGTAACCCTGTTAGTTATGGGTTGTCTTTAACGATAGCTAGTATTCCTATGTGCAGAAAGCTTTGATGTATTCTGTATGCACTAATTGCCTGTCAGCAGCTCCTTAATCCTTGTGAGACTTATGTTAAGAATCTTGTTAAATAATATTGCAGATTTTATTTGGATTATCCCAAGTGGTATAAGCCTGCTAAACTGAAAAAATAGCTAGTCGGTGAAGTATTCTTGCTACTATATATGGGCTGCTGCTATTCGAAGAAAGTTGGTCGTGTTCCTGGATACGAGGATCCTGCCGTCCTTGCCTCTGTAACACCCTGTGAGTGTTCATCATTTATCAAAGTACTGCATACCCTATAAATACTTGTTTTGCTTCTATATCAGTGATGGCATCGTTGTTTATAGCTTTATACTAACTAGTCTTATGACCCCATGTACATTTGTTCAATAAAAGGTTGAGAGAAAGATGTTTAATTCAGGAAGGGAAGGGGAGGGGAAGGTGATGAAATATGAGAGATAAAACCAAATGAACAAATATTTATAGTCTTTGTCCCTATGGGCTTGTGTTCTTAAAACTCCGTAATAGGTATAGATACTATAGAGTAATAACTAATACAGAGTACCTTGTACTTATACATTCCTTGATTATTTACCGTCTGCAGTCACTGAGAGTGAAGTAGAGGCCTTGTATGAGTTATTCAAGAAATTGAGCAGCTCCATAATTGATGACGGCCTAATTCATAAGGTAAGTAATTTATGGACCTTGACAGGAGTTTTTTTTTTTTTATGTCATATTATTTCTGTTTATTTCATAATCCATGTCAGCCGTATTCATTCATTTTTTCATGTATGTATATTGACAGGAAGAGTTCCAACTTGCGCTCTTTAGGAACAGTAAAAAGGAGAATCTTTTTGCAGATAGGGTGAGCAGGCAGATTCAGTTTTTCTTTCTGGGTCGTTCTTGTTGCCAAATTCTACTATATAACCTATAGCACTATCAAAACAAAATATACTCGGAAGGTTTTCTTGTGTAGCCTGAAGTCGGCCTGAACAATGTCTTACATTCGGTCTTTTGCAGATCTTTGACTTATTTGATTTGAAGCGCAATGGTGTCATTGACTTTGGAGAATTTGTTCGGTCACTGGCAGTATTTCACCCCAATTCACCAGTAAAGGATAAGATGGAATGTATGTACCTCTATGATTTGTAAGTAAGCGCGTTTAACAATCTTTATCTGAAAAAAATCTTTTGTATTAATGGAAATACTTTCTGCCTGCAGTTGCTTTCAAATTGTATGATCTGAGACAAACTGGGTTTATTGAGCGTGAAGAGGTGAGTACTTGTAGCTTTTTATTAGTGAGAACCTGAATAACCAATTGTTAGCCATTCCCTAGTTTTTTTCATATGCCATTAGCTCATTATCGTTTACTTGAACACAGTTGAAGGAAATGGTTCTGGCTTTGTTGCATGAATCGGAGTTGTTCCTCTCAGATGATGCTGTCGAGGCAATTGTGGATAAGGTATATAACAAAATTCCTTTTCATGCTTTTTTTCCCCTCGGTGGTTTATACACTGTCATATTGGTGTATTGTTTCCACAGACATTTACTGAAGCAGATTTAAAAGGTGATGGGAAGATAGATCGAGAAGAATGGTGTGAATTAGTAAAGACTTATCCTTCATTGCTTAAGAATATGACACTCCCATATTTGAAGTAAGTTTTTCTTACCTCAAAAACTTTGTTGTGAATTTTCTGAAGTACTTATCCCAAAGGGTCCATTAGTCTTTGCAGAAAAATTTATCGTTACAATGTTTTTTTCAGGGATATCACATTAGCATTTCCAAGCTTCATTTTAACCTCAGAAGTTGAAGACATAGAAGTGCCTTAGAAAGAAAAAAGAGTAAGGGTGAGCTGATATGAAGAACCCGAATAGATGAGATGGTTTTCAGGGTTCAGATCACACAGTGAAGCAACACCAATGCTTCACCAATTCACTCCTTGTGTAGTGGGTAAAAAAAAAAGTGCAAGCAGAACATATATCAATATGTAACATCTTGTATTTGTTCTTGTATGTGTAGTATCATACGACATTTACAATAGTGAACATCTTTTTGAAATGCTCATATGTTTACATTCATGGGTAAATACTAGTTGCAAAGACTAAAATCAACCGCCTTTCTAAAACTGTAACCTACTGAATTAATTGTCAATAAAGCTCAAAGTTTTATTCTCAATTACAATTTATTGGACAAACAACATATTCAAATATGACATTAAATTATACGTTTGGGTAAGGTTAGGAACTTAGGGTGCAAAGAGAAACTCTTATGAGTTAATAAAAAAATCAAGTACATATCAAATTAGTTATTTTCATAGATTTATGAGTGTTAAAACACCTAATTGTCCACGTGACTAGTCTTTCATCAAAGAAAGATGAAAAAAATATCTTACAAAGTCAGAGGAGTTACTCCTACCATAAATTTACAATGAAATCTCATTCAAAGCTTGCAAGCAAAATTGACTCTCCTTTTTATTTAGGCACCATATTCATCTCTACTAAAAATTTTACAATGAGACTCTAGTCTACTAAAATCATGATATGAATCAAGCTAGTGGTTGGTTTGGGCCATGTCTGTATCATGTGTTTTGGGGTTAGCTAGGCTAAGCTCATGATCTGATCCACAAGCTATGTGTCATGCTAAAATTTGCAAAAGGTGGCCCACATGACCAAATGTGACACTGTGTTGGGCATAAGCTAAATTTAACTGATTTTAGCGTGTTTTGTTGTGTTGTATTGTATTTCTACCAAGTAAAGACAGTCCATGCTTAGCCCATGGATTGACATACATGGTAATGTGTCATGTTTGTGCCTACATTATGATTGTGCCATACTTTTTTATTTATTTATTTAATTTAAATTTTTTTTTTATGTTGGGTTGTTTAGTGTTTTGAGCCACTCAAAAGTCAAACCTAATGCCATCTATAGAGGTAACACTTTAGTTTGAAGATGAAAAGAACCAAGCAAGTGGTTGAAACAAACCAATTAAACATCACTAGATTCACTAATCACTATCCCTCCACAAGAAGCAAGTTGAAGAGTGAAGTATTAGGGTGAGTGGGTGACCTCTAGAAACTAGATCATCTTGTTCATTGAGGACCTTGACCTTTCTTTCTCCAACAAGAAGTTGACAACTCTTTCATGAACCCTTTTTCTATTATCACATACCCTTTTCACTTTTTTCCTTTTCACTTCTCAATTCTTAGATAATCGCATATTTCTTCTATTGTCCATATCAACTCCACATATCTATTCCTCAACCTAGGAAATTGGATTTTTTTTTTTTTTTTTTTTTTTTTAAGAAAAAACATCAAAATCATAAATTACAAACAAATGTCCTACCTTGTTGAAATCCTTTATGTTTCTCTCTCCAAATTTTAGCCCCAATTAATCAATTATCCATTTTAATTTTAATATGTTTATATTTTTTTAATTTGATTTTTAATACTGTACTGAAAAGTGAAAAAGCAAACAATAAATCTTCAATCTTTCTTGCACAACACATACTCTCTCTCTTCTCTTTGAACTGATTCCTGAATCTGAGTTTTTTTACAGAAGCTATTACAACACTTTTGAAATCGTTCCCAAAATTCGATTCTTTCACCCGGATTTCTTCAAATTCATATCAATTCGATTCCATCTTCCAATCAAATCCAAAAAAATCCAATAAAAATCCAATCTTTTTGCATTCGATTCTTTTTTGCATTGTTTTTGGATTTCAATCGATACCCATCACAAATTAACCCCAAATTCTTTCAATTTCTATCGATTCTGTAAAAACCCATTTGCTTAATCACTCAAACAATTCATCTTTTTTTTTTGGAGGGGTTAATTTTTGTTCAAATGTGTCTGTAATGCACCCAGTTGGAACTAATACTGGGACAAAGAATACCCTAAAACGTTCTAGATCATTCTCATTGGATATGCCTGCAACTGTTACTGATAATTCCATGGTTTCCCAGAAATTTTCTGTTGATGATGATGGTGGTGGTGATTACCCTTTATTCTCTGTTGATGAAATTGTGCAATACCCTTTGCCTGGTTATGTTGCACCCACTTCACTTAGTTTTAGTCCAGATGATAATTTGATTACTTATTTATATAGCCCTGATCATAGTTTGAGCAGGAAGGTTTTCAGCTTTAATCTGGAAAATGGTAAGCATGAATTGGTGTTTAGCCCTGTTGATGGTGGGCTTGATGAGAGTAATATCTCTGAAGAGGAGAAGTTGAGGAGAGAGAGAGCTAGAGAGAGGGGATTGGGTGTGACGCGGTACGAATGGGTTAAGATGTTATCATCAAAGAAGAAGATGATCATGGTGCCTTTGCCTGATGGGGTTTGTTTTCTGATTGCTTTCTGTCAAGTATTACTTGTTTGTGTGTTTTTTTCTTTGTATGTTTTGATGAACTTGTATGTGGTAATACGGTGTTGTCTCTTGAATACTGTGTTAATTGGGTTGTTGTTTGTTTGATTTTTATGGCATATTGTAATTTTGGTGTAAGGACTGTGATGTAGACGAGGTTTGATCCCCATGCCAAGATTCAGCTAAACATGCTAGCATCCACATTTTGATGCATGCATATTGTGAATTTATCAGCAATGAGTTTCTATGTGTCCTAACATAAAAAATTATTGCATTAAACTTGATTAGCGTGGCTTCTTTTGGAGTGTCTATATTGAATGCTAAACTTTTCTGTAACTCCTGAAGGTTGGCGTTTAGTATCTTTTGAAATCCAGCATTTTATGTAGGTAACTTGTCACAATCAGGCAATTTACAAAAAGTGTCAAAGCAGTTAATAGGGCTCCTACTTTCAAGTGGACTAATGCTTTTTAGTCTTCTTTTATAATGATAATATGCTTTGCCATATCAATGACACTCTTTATGACCCTTGGATGATGCCTTTTCTAGGGTCGAGGTTATTGCTAGAATCTAGAGGAGACTTTGTCTTAAAATAGGATTTCCCCCTTTCTTATATTGAATCCATGTTGGTTATGAGAATTCTGTTCTTACTTTGTAAGTCTTTCACACTTTCAGTTTAAAGATGAGTGCTATGTTCATGCATGGCGCCTAGTTGTCTGTAAAATAAAGAAATCAATGGCTGGAATTCTTCTATTGGTTTCATCTTTAAAAGAAGGGCAGGGGAAATTGAGTAAGGATGGGTCTAATAGAACAATTTGTGACAAGTCTGCATCCTGTATTCGAAGGGTTTCTTTTTATTTTTTCAAAGTGTCATAGGAATTATTGTCTTTAGAATTTTTGCATCATGCGATATTACCTCATGGATGGAATACTTTTGTTAGTTTCATCGTTAAAGGAAAGGGCAGGGGAAATTGAGGAAGGATTGATCAAATAGAACAATGTGTGACATGTCTGCATCACTGTATTTGAAGGGTTTCTCTTTATTTTTTCAAAGTGTATTGGAATTACTGTCTTTAGAAATTTTGCATCATGTGATACTACCTTAGGCTTTGGTGGGGTTTGGCGTGGTCGTTTATGATGATGGTAGGGTGGTTCAAGATCACAATTGCAGATTGTTTGAATTATTTGTGAGTTGTGAGTTTATGATGATGGTAGCGTGGTTCAAGTTACAACTGATGACTGCAATATACTCTTCCATGGTTTCTTGCTAGAACAAGAAAAGTAGCTAGTAGTTGTTTACCTCTTTGGCTATTGCCTTTCAGGCTCTTATGTTAAGCTGGTGGAAAACTCAATTGCTTAGAATCTCCCCTTCTTTTTCTTGTTTTGTGGAATGGAGCTTATTGATAGATGGTTGTCATTGGGTGTCTTAGACCTTGACCCTCTTATTTTTCCCTTTATTAGATACTGATTTTTCTCTCTTACTACTTTACTGTCTATATAAGTATATAGTGTCATAGGAGTATAGGACATAATATTTTTCAAATTGAAATTTGTTTAAAACGTGGACTTTAAGGATTAAGTTTCCAGGACACACCATACTAACTCAAGCTCTAGGCTCTTGTTTTTCTTCTGTAATTACTTATTCAGAAATTACGTTCCTTGTTCTGAACCGTAAATCAAGCTGCTGTTCAGCAGTGGCATATGTATTCATGACATGAATAAGGTCTGTATTTCCTGTTGTAAGCTATGTCATAGTTTAGCATACCATTCAATTTACATTGTTGCACATTTCACTTGTCCACGCGTAGTTGAGCTCATCTCTATTTGCTTCTTACTACTGTTTAGTTGTGCATGATCTATGCCCTATGATGGATTTTTGGTGGGAAAAAAAACAGTAGAGCTTAAAATTGGTCTGTAATGGGTATGTTCACTGGGGATTGGGATTCCCCTACTGTAACATAAATTCTTTATTAATAGAATATTAAGAATTTTATGGTCGCATTGGCTATCGTAAAGGTCAAAATGCTTGTTTGTAAAACGGATGTAGTATGGAATAGAGAACCCTTGTAGACCTTTTCAAATGTATTAGATATTGTTGATATAGTTTAAATAGCCGTTCTGTTAGATTCGTTATGCTTATGGAAAGCCTTTCATATGTTTTAATCCGGTCCCTTATTGGATCCCTACAGGGAGCTGCTCTTTTATGGAAATGGAAAGAGGATCCTGCCTTCCCTTAAGAAAGGTACAAATTGTAGGAAGGAGATAGTTTTGGTTTCAGGAGACTGATTTGAGGTTAAACATTAGCAATAGGTACTCTTGCATTAGTCTAGGACATCTGCTACTTTTTCTGAGGCATGTGGAACCATACTTATGTTGCTGTTTCTGGGTTATATATTTGGATGCTATGATTTCTCTTTACACTGAGTTTAGTGTCTCAGCCTGCTTTTCATCAGGTCTGTCCCAGTCTTTCAGGAGTCACAATGCCACATCGTTTGTTATGACTTATGAGTTAATGTTGAATGGACTCTTGGGCATATCTGATGTTTTTGTTGTTTGTGCTGGTTTAGGAAATTTTATTTTATGTTTTCGTGAGCCAGTTACCACTTTTGAACTTTCATCTGTTTAAGACTGTTTGTATGAATTGTATCCGGCGTCCTTGTTCCGCTGTAGGCCTGTTATATTAGAAGCCCTTTTACCTTGTAATATCATTATTGATCCCTGTCGATAAGGTACTTTTGATTGCCCCTCACATTCCTCCTTTGACATGCACAGGTCTATTTGTATGATCTTTCTTCCTCCAAAGTTGATCTCAAGCTTCAAAGCACACCCAACTCGCCAATTATTGATCCACACCTTTCTCCAGATGGTAATATGATTGCTTTTGTAAGAGGCTATGAGCTGCATGTTTTCGATATCCTGTACAACAAAGAGAAGCAATTAACATCTGGTGCAAAAGGAAGTACTTTAGTAAGTTGCTAACTTATCCTGTTTCCGTTGATGGACAACATAACAATATTTTATATTCTCAATTACTTTTTTTTTTTCCTTTTTTTTAATTTTTAATTTTTAATTTTTATTTTATTTTTTTTATTTTTATTTTTTTTTTTTGGTTTCATGGACATGACATTTTTGTTCTTTTTTTTTTTCTTTTTTTCAGACTCATGGTCTTGCTGAATACATTGCTCAGGTAATATTTCTATGCTGCCCTCTAATGACTCTTGCTTTTACCCTAGTTCTTCAACCGTGCAACATGTTGTGATTAACAGTCTGGTGACATTGACATACTCCCAAATCTCAACAACCCGATTTTATAGGGTTTATGATCAATCTCACTTTGTATTTTGAATGCTTGTTCCCTAAATTCGCTATAACAAATAACCAGGTCACCTTAATGTTCTGAAGTATGTTGACTTTTATCATATTAGTCATGCATCTTGAGTCCTCTTGACAAAGTGATTCCATGAGATGAAAGTTGAACAAATAAATTCAGTCAAATGTTTGCCAACCACCATTTTATTATCATTGGGAATCCCTTTCAGCTTCCTCTGAGGGACTAGTTGTGAACTTGTGAAGGCTTTGGCAGCATGAATGCCATGCCAATTGGAATGGCAAACATGATTTTTCTCAGTCAATACCATGTGCAGTTCACTCCTTTTTCTCTTGTGCATTGTAGAAGAGTAGTAATGGAGATGTTTATGGACATCCTTCTTTTATTCATTTTTGATGTGCTTATGCCCTTTTTACACTATTCTAGGCAGTGCCCTTTATAATTATTGCCGTAAGTAATTATAAAGGGCACTCTCTCTCTCTCTCTCTCTCTCTCTCTCTCTCTCTCTCTCTCTCTCTCTCTCTCTCTCTCTCTCTTGTTTGTGTGTGTGTGTGCCTATTTCGTGTGTGTGTGTGTGTGTGTGTGTGTGTGTGCGCGTGCCTATTTTGCGTTGATGTTAGAATAGCAGGTTTAATTAATAATTACATTTTGTGCTTTAGGGAGCCTTAATACAATTTTCTGAAAACTCTAAGCACTTAGCTTTTATATGCTGAAATATATAGTCAAAATTCTAGTACTTTATAATCCTGGTAGTATTATTTCTTAAACCATCCCTGTATGCTTTCAATAATGTATTTGTAGGAGGAAATGGATCGCAAGAATGGTTACTGGTGGTCACTGGACAGCAAATTTATTGCATTTACAGAAGTTGATTCTTCTGATATTCCGCCATTTAGAATTATGCATCAGGGTAAAAGTTCAGTTGGTCCTGATGCACAAGAAGATCATGCTTATCCCTTTGCAGGAGCTTTAAATGTCAAAGTCAGACTTGGTGTGGTATCTATTGCTGGAGGTCCTATTACATGGATGGCTCTTCATTGTGGAGGAAATAGGGATGAGGAATATTTGGCTAGAGTTAACTGGTTGCCCGGAAACATTCTCATCGCTCAGGTTTTAAACAGAGCTCAAACAAGGTTAATGATTCTTAAATTTGATATTAAGACTGGTCATAGGAAAGTTTTGCTGGTGGAGGAGCATGATAAGTGGGTGAATTTGCACGACTGCTTTACACCACTTGACAAAACAATAAGTGGTGGTTCGGGGGGGTTTCTTTGGGCTAGTGAAAAAACAGGATTCCGCCATCTTTACTTGCATGACGTTGATGGGCATTGTTTAGGGCCTGTAACAGAAGGTGATTGGATGGTTGAACAAATTGCCGGAGTAAATGAGGCAACAGGTATTTTGTATTTTACCGGAACCGTAGATGGACCGTTGGAGTCTAATCTTTACTCTGTTAAATTGATTCCCAGTAGGTCCAACCCACTGCAGGCCCCTGTTAGATTGACACAGGGCAATGGAAAACACATTGTTGTACTTGACCATCAGATGCAAAGATTTATTGATATTCACGATTCTTTAACTTCGCCGCCAAAAATTGTCTTGTGCTCTTTACGCGATGGAAGTTTGATTACCACACTATATGACCAACCATCTGGAGTTCCAAGATTCAAGAGGCTCAAACTTGAGCCCCCAGAAATCGTCCAGATTAAAGCAAATGATGGTACTGTATTGTATGCTTCAATGTATAAACCTGATGAAGCAAGATTTGGTCCACCACCATATAAAACTATGATAAGTGTTTATGGTGGTCCAAGTGTGCAGCTTGTGTCTGACTCCTGGATTAATGCCGTTGACATGAGAGCTCAGTACCTGAGAAGTAAGGGTATTTTGGTTTGGAAGGTCAGTAATTTTTATCAACTCTTATCCTGAGCCTTTCTTAGATTTACCTTTTTTTTTCATAGATGTTTAAGCTTCTAATATAGCATTTTGCTGCAACCTAATTTGTTTTTTCTTTTGGATGCCTCATTTTGCCGCAACCTCATTTGTCCCTTCTGCATGATTAATGAACGAAATATTTGCATCTTTTATGAACTATGTTTTTACACTGCTATTATTAAAAACTTAATGTATCAGAATACTGTCATCGAATATAAGATCCATTGAGGAGTTCTATATCTGTGTATAAGACTTATAAGTGATATTTTCTGTTAAATATTTGGTTTTGGGGTCGGCTAACATGTATTGTCATAAGGAATCATCTGATATAGAAAAAGGGACATGACAAGATAATTTTGTACAATATTTAAATTATTTAAAGGAAAATCATTTCATATCTCCTCACTTCAGATCGTCTCTGTGTATTATGGTTTGTATATTGATATACCAATATTGTCTCCTAAATATTTTCTGTACTAATTTTGATACTAATTCTGCCGCCCTTCTGTTTCTGTTTCCACAATCACAGCTGGATAACCGAGGATCAGCTCGACGTGGGCTAAACTTTGAAGGAGCAGTGAAACACAAATTTGGTCGCATTGATGCTGAGGACCAGCTGGCAGGAGCTGAATGGTTAATTAGTAAGGGATTAGCAAAAGAGGGTAGGATCGGGCTTTATGGGTGGAGTTATGGTGGGTATCTTTCGGCCATGACATTGGCAAGATTCTCTGATGTGTTCAGCTGTGCTGTTGCTGGGGCCCCAGTTACTTCTTGGGATGGTTACGACACTTTCTACACTGAGAAGTACATGGGATTGCCCACGGAAAATGTTGCTGGCTATGAGTTTGGCTCAGTGATGCACCATGTTCGAAATGTCAAAGGGAAACTGCTATTAGTACATGGAATGATTGATGAAAATGTGCACTTCAGGCATACTGCTAGGCTTGTGAATGCATTTGTAGCTGCTGGTAAACCTTACGAGCTTCTTATTTTTCCTGATGAGAGGCACATGCCTCGGCGCCTAAGGGATCGGATTTATATGGAGGAGAGGATCTGGGAATTCATAGAGAGGAACCTTTGAAAACCTCGGTTTCATTTATTTGAAATCCCGCCATTTATTTGAATGATAACCCCCCCCCCCCCCAAAACACATACTTCCTTGTCATTCAGTCTTTTCTTTTCTGGTGTTAGATACCCTCTTTTTTTTTTGTTTTTTTTGTTTTTTTTTTTTGTTTTTTTTTGGGTGGAAAAGGGTGTAGAGGAAGAATTTTAGAGGGTAAACAGCAAAGTTCATGCTGTCTAATAAACCTTATTTCCCCATCAATTTCTCTTCTTTGTAGATTAGTTGGATAAACTAGAGGTTACTTATTCCCTGTAATATTAGATGTTGTAATAATATTGCCTTTCAAGTTTATGGCCTTGTTTTCCTGGTTTTGTATCTTAATCCTTTTGTTCCTTTCTCCTATTCAGGTTTCACCTTTAGCCATTCCCCACCTCCCTTACATATATCCGATATGACTCATATGAGGGCTCATCGTTGAACATAGCCTAATCTTCTGTCGAACATGTATTTTCATGATCCGTCTCTTAAACATGTATTTTCACAATCACCGGTAGTAAGTGTTGCAAATGATTAGTAATATGTTTAGAAAGTATCATGTTAATGTCTATCCATCACACAAGAATCTCTTTATGAAGAAAAGCAGTTGTTTGAATTAAATCGTATATCCTGAATATATTTTGTAGCGTATTTGAATGGCAAGGGCCGATGGGTTCCATCGTTGGACTGCCTGTTGAACCACAATCTTCTACTAACAACCATAATTCGAAGCATTACATCTATCCAGTACTTTAATAGTGTTGCCGAAGTTGAAAGAGAACATCTGCAACTACAATCGATGTATGGATGAAGAGAAACAAAAAGATAACCAAAACGAAAACCCTATTTAGAAACATCTAATTTGACCTATAATTTTATCAATAGTCAAATTCAAAGATGACACATGAAAATTTTAAACAATCCCTTTGAAAAGTGTTCCAATATATATGGGATTATGAGCTAAGTTTGATGAACATTCTCTAAACTCAATGATAAAATACAACTGGAATGAATCATTGAAATTATGATTTTAAGTACCCTGTATCCTGAACCCCATGAAGCTACTGTTTATATACTTGTAAAGTTACAAGTAATTTCAAAGATAATATTGTTATGGGTGCTTTTATGTTACCCTTTTGTCTATTTCAATCAGTGTCTCTTTTTGTTCAATTTGAAATAATTCAATGTTTATCATCAAACTGGCTGTATGTTTGATGCTTTTGATGAGAGCATGGTGAGGTTTCAGATGTGGGTACACCCTTGCTTATGACTGACGAGCACCCATCTGGTTGAAGTTCTTTCGTTCAAAATTACTCCACCTGTCTCTAAATATATAGTGAATCGTGTTATGACTGTTTCAGTGTGTCTTTAGATGATAGATCGTGTCTCGAGTTTAGTTTAGTTCAATTAAGGATATAGACTAATTGTAAGAGGATAAAGACAAAAAATTTTAAGATAAAAATGAATGGATGATTAGATGCTTCAATCTAATCCAATGTAACTTGCTACTTGTAGTATTAAATTAAGATAGATGATTAGAGGGTGACTAATTGCAACTAATTTATATTACTATCTAATTCAATGATGAAAAGGAAATAGCTTTGAGTGTGCACATAAATTATTAAAGGATAAAGTAAGAACATGATAGCTTGGTTAGAATTATTGAGGATTCAATAATGTAGCACTAAAAGCTACTCCGTATTTTAATTTAATTTGTTTAGTTAAATTATTTTTGTGATTCCTATCATATACTAAGTATAGTACTAGGTAGTAAGTACTCTAATTAAATTTGAAGTATATATGTCACTGCAAACGTTGGATTAAGGCGATGAAAGTGCCATCTTTAAAGTCTAGATGTAAAGACTATGATCCATCCATGAACTCACTTGAACTTTGCATCTCAAGTTCTTAACACGAGGCAAGGCAACCATGTCGTTCATGACCAACTCGTTACCACAAACTAGAACTAATTAGAACGGGTGTGCCTTACAGGTTTACAAATGAAGTGAATTAATAATACGATCTTGCTAACGAGCGCTCCGGGGCGTTAGATAAGGATAAATTATATTGGTTGAAATGATATTAAGTTAGGAATTCATGACAAAATCACGCGTCGTTCGGTGTAATTAATGCTAATTTTACTCTAATATTTGCACTTTAATTGTCTTATCTAACGCCCCGAGGGCGTTCATTAGCTTTTGCCTTAATAATACACCGTATTGTAATTGCATTCTAAATTTTCTATAAGATATTTTATAAACGTTAGCCGGTTAAGTTTCTTGAACAAGACATTAGAAATTGGAATATTCACCTCAAATTTGAGATGCCTAGATTATGTATTTGCCACAAGTAAGGTGTCTATACAATTCTTACACCCAAAGTTTAAAATCCTTAGAATTACTTTCGGCATCAATTTTCCAAAAAGGAAGATATTTACCTTACAATACAATTAGATATGTACAAATTACCTCATGTCTCAAATCGATGCTTTTACAAGTACAATCTAAATTAAAGAAATTATCTTTTATATAATTGTAGAGTTCTCACCACAACACTCTAATTCTTGAATAGAGCAATTCTATGCATTCTATTTTTATTTTTTTTTAATAACTTCCACTACTTTAACGATGTCACTTTCACTTCTCTGAATTTTTTTTTTTAAATAAAAAAAATCTATAATAGTATAACTTTCACATAATTCCTTTTCTTTTACATATACATATGAGTATACGATTGCCATGCGTATATTCCGTGCATAACGCACGGATACACTCTAGTAATTATAATTAATTAGTATATGTACTTATATGGTTATATGCATCTAATTATAAAGATAACGTACTTGCTATTAATTAGCACATGCTCCTTTCATATTTTTATTACAAGTTGCAAAATAGAGGTGATGCTTAATTTGGTTAATGTATAAAAAAAATATATTAAAAACACTACCGAGTATTAATTAGTCCGTAAAATACTATAGATTTGAATTTAAGACGATAAGATAGTCAGAGCTTGTTCACATTTATTGAAATGAGCTAAGCTGAACTGAACTGAAGCGAGCTGAAATGAATATTTTATGAGGGAGCGAAATTATGAGCTAAATTGAACTGAAATTAAGCTGAAGTGAACATCTCTCAATATACAATTTGGTATACTTTGAGATAGGTGTTGATCAATTCCTTGAAAATCGTTCTAATCAAATTAGATATTCTTTTATCCTTCATTTGAGGATTGGTTCAAAATAATTGCTAAAAAATCAAGGGTATTGTTATATGCTAAGCATTTACGGAGTAAAATACTTCTTTTTTTAGTACTATTAGGTTGAAAATTTATTGATAATTTACAAGTAAATTGGTGTAATAAATGTTTATTTATTGTCTTTTCTTTCCATTTTTAATTTTTTTTTATATCCCTTAAGGCTACATATATTTTTTTTTCCAAAAATCAATACTCATACATTAGTGATGTACACAACTATACCAACCTTTTTTTAACAACACAACTATACCAATTTGGTTGTTTGGCATCATTTTTGTTTTCAGTTTCCTGTTTTTTTAAAAGCTAAAAACCAAAAACAAGAAACAAGAAAAATGTGTTTCCACTTTTTTGTTGTCAGGTTTCAAAATTATTATAATTTTAACAAGTTTAAATAATTTTTGATTTATTATGTGACATATATCATACACTTTTATACAACAAAAAACCAAAAAACAGAAACCACAACAATGTCAAACGAACCTTAACTCTTTTTTTGTTTTTTTTTTTTTGAATAGGTTGTACATAATAACTTATACGATACAAATGGTTATCAATAAATTCATATAAAAAAATATATAAAAAAAAAAAAACATGCTCATTTTATCATTTGTAAAAAAATGTTAGTCTAATGTAAATTATAAGGTACAACCAATCGAATAAAAAAATTGCAAATGGCCATAGATTAGTGTAAGATTTTTTTAAAAAAAAATTGACAGGAAGCTTTTTTTTTTTTTCGAGACAAGAAGATTATTACTAATGGCAATCAAAATTCAAACAGAAACAGTTAAAGCGCTAAAGACTAATGAGAATTCTAGAACAGTGATTCAAAAAAAAAAAGGCCGTTAATATAGGAAGTAACGCCGTTTAAATTAAAAAAACTTCGTGAAAAATTCCGTCAAAAGCTGAGTGGGTCCAACCCTATAAATACCCCCCACATCATCATCACCATTTCCTCTCTTTCTTCAGAGCTTTCATTAAAATCATAAATTCTTCGCTCTCAATTTATTTTCTCTCTCCATTTTTTTCTCTCTCTATAATTTTCTTGCAAAAAAAAATCAATTAGGTTTTCAAAGAGAGAAAAATAGTCTCAATTGAAAGGAAAATGATGAAGAGGAAATGCTGAGAATTGATTTTCTGGAATTGATGATCGAGTTTTTGAGTTAGTTTCATCTGGATTCTCGAAGTTTCGGCTTTGAGCTTCATCTTGCTGTCTTTTTCTTTTTGTAAGTACTTCATTCTTCTCCTTTTTGTTTTAATTGCTTTTATTTTATGCTTTTGATTGTGATTTTTTGAATTTCTTTTGTTATTTTGTTAGATTTTTAATTTGAACTGTTGTGTGATGAACTGATAATCGGACTTGAGAACTAGCTGATGTTTGCGAGATTTTGTTGAAATGAATTTTTGATTTATTTTTCTGCATTTTCGTTGCATTTGATTATAATATTATTATTTTTTATTTTATTTTTTTGTTGGTAATATTGAAGTGAAATGATAAATTAGCAGAGAAGCAAAATGATTTTGATTCAGGTAGAATTAATTTATTTATTCATTTTTTTTAGAATGCTTGATTATATGTTGATTCTGGTGAACAGTACAAGTTTGATGTGCAAAGTTAAATAATTCAAGTAGAGAACAAACATGTGCTTTGATGTTTCTAGGATGTTCTAAACAAGATAAGGTTAGATTAAGGTCAATTTTGGAATAAAATGTGCTAATTATGTGTTTAAGCTTAGGTAAGAATTTAGAAGTTAGAAATTGAACTTTGAGGTTTTAGGATGTTGTTGTGAAGAAGGTGGATTTGATGAGCAGTTCATTTGTGGCCAGATTAAGTAAGATATTGAATTGATTGAATAATGTATATAGTTTGTTAAGTGTTAAGACTTAGGATTAAGATGTTTGATTAGTTTTCGACATATGCTGGAAGCTGAATGTGTGTGTTTCTTGTGTGGGATGTAGGGTCGAAGGCTTTTGAATCTTTGATCGGCTAACTTTAGAGATGTCAATGGCAAGCGTTGCTCTTAGTCCAGTTCAAAAGGATTCGTTGACCATCCCGAGCTTTCTGTCGGGCCAGCATGGCTATTTGACTGATGAATCAATCTTGATATACTTGACTGTGGGTGGATCAGTGGTTCCAATCCGTGTGTTGGAGTCGGATTCAGTTGCTTCTGTTAAGCTTAGAATTCAAAATCACAAAGGCTTCTTTGTGAAGAATCAGAAGCTGGTTTTTGATGGAAGAGAGCTGGCCCGAAATGATTCCAGTGTTAAGGACTATGGGGTGGCTAATGAGACTGTCCTGCACTTGGTCCTCCGTCTTTCAAATATTCAAGCCATTACTGTTATGACAGTGTGTGGGAAGGAGTTTGAGTTCCATGTTGAGAGGAGTAGAAATGTGGGATACTTGAAGCAGCAGATTGCTAAGAAGGGAGATGGACTTTTTGATCTGAAAGATCAAGAATTGATTTTTGATGGCAAGGAGCTTGAGGACCAGTGTCAAATTCAGGAGTGTTGTAAGAACAATGATGCTGTTATTCACTTGCATGTTCAAAAATCTGCCAAAGTGAGAGCTAAACCAGTTGAGAAAGACTTTGAAGTTTTGATTGTGGCTTCTGATTTAAATGAGAAAGGAGCTGATGAAATAGTCACTGATGAGTGCAAACGGGGAACTCAACCTGTTCATCCTCTGGTTGCACTCAAAAAACAGTTTTGTAGAGATATAATTTTGGAGCATCTGATCGTGAATCCTAAGATTGAGCTTCCTTTAGTGATTAGGAAACTGATTAATTCTACATTTAGTGGGTTAGATAAAGGAAAACTACCAGTTAGGTCTTCTGAGGGCTGTGGAGGAGCATATTTCATGCTTGATCCCGCTGGTCAGGAATATATCTCCGTTTTTAAACCTATTGATGAGGAGCCCATGGCTGTTAACAACCCTAATGGATTACCTGAGTCTAAGGACGGTGAAGGACTGAAAAAGGGTACTCAAGTTGGTGCAGGGGCTGTTCGTGAAGTGGCAGCATATATTTTGGATCATCCTAGGACTGGTCCTCGTTCTCATTACCATGCAGAGGTTGGATTTGCTGGTGTTCCACCTACTGCTTTGGTGAAGTGTTTGCATAAGGGGTTTCATCATCCTAATGGATATGAGGGCTCTTCTAAAAACTTGAAGATTGGTTCTCTGCAGATGTATATGAAAAATTCCGGGAGTTGTGAGGACATGGGTCCCAGTGCCTTTCCTGTTGAAGAGGTTCACAAGATCTCAGTTCTGGATATTAGGTTGGCCAATGCAGACAGGCATGCTGGAAACATTCTGGTCTCCCGAGATCATGAAGGTCAAAATGTCCTCATTCCGATTGATCATGGGTACTGTTTGCCAAGCAAGGTAAAGTTCTGTCCAAATTTTTACCTTACATGGCTTACTTTTTCGCTAACTAAGACACATTGAAGGACATATCATCTAAGATTTTATGATGCAAACCCAATGCTCTTTAAGAATTTGCAATCTATGAAGTACTCTGATCCATTGAAAGCTAAAAACATTTTATCCCACACATTTCATGTACGGCCTTATTGTTTGAATGTGGAAAAGAACTTGTGTTGCCAGCTTGCTACATGCCACTTAGTCCTGATTCTGTTGGAAATTTACTAAAAAAATATCCATAACATAGTGAATATGACTCACTAGTGAGTTTCTTGTAGTTCACGTAATTACTAGCTGCATCACTTACTATTTCTGCTCCAAACCCCTTAACTCTGGTGTAAGTCCTATAAATGCTCTGAAATATGTATCCAGCTCAGATAAACTAGCCTAATCGGGTGATAGTGTATCTGGAACTTGGGTCCTCTCTTGAGCAGTTCTAGGCATCTAGTGTTGTTACTAGACAAAACTCCAGCTCTTCTAACTTTGTGCTTTTATTTACTATGCAGTTTGAGGACTGTACTTTCGACTGGCTTTATTGGCCTCAAGCACGTCAGCCATACTCTCCTAATACCATTAAGTACATAAAATCCCTTGATGCTGAAGAAGATATTAGACTGCTGAAACTTCATGGATGGAACATGCCACCTGAGTGTGCTCGTATATTACGAGTCTCCACCATGCTTTTAAAGAAAGGTGTTGCTAGAGGGCTGACTCCCTTTGTCATTGGGAGCATCATGTGCCGCGAAACCTTGAAGAAGGAATCCGTGATTGAGCTGATCCTCAAAGAAGCAGAGGAAGCGTTGCTACCAGAATCAAGTGAAATTGCATTTCTCGAGACAATCTCCTCAATCATGGATCGCTGGCTTGATGAGCTCTCTTCATGAATCCCGTGACAGTAGATATGTGAGTACGTGACTGTAGTTTTTAGATAACCTTGGATGTGTAATAGTGTGACAGTTGAAAATACCACTTGGCTCTCTATCCTGTATTTTGATGGCTGCAGAGTTATGTAACTGTTTGTGTAGGATTGCTGGAACTTGCAAATCTATTGTCTGGTTGTTCCGCTTGTTTGTACTGTTATGATCTCAATTTCTTGAAGAATTCCGTCCTATTTATGGATTGATATTCTTCAAGTTTGAGGACGGTGTGAAATGTTGTGAAACGCAAATATCAGTAAAATCAATAAGATTGTGGAGACTGTAATCCCCTCTGTTATTTCGTTGCTTTTGCTTCTTTGCGAGTTATCTGAATTCTGTTCTCTTGGTCTTTGTTGTCTGCAAGCCAGTGCTGGCTTACACTTTTTAACTCAGGTCCTGTTTTGCACTGTTATAAATCTAACTTCATATTCTAATTAATGTGATTTATTCTTTAACAGACTATCGTCTTTTTGTAAACAGATGAATTATTTACTTTAAAAGGTCATGAAAGAGGGGGCAAGTATATCAAGGGAGAAGACACCACTGTATAAATCAAATGATAAAAAGTTTTAACACGAGTACACAACATTCAGAAAATTCATACATCAGACTATCAGAGATAAGTTTCTGAAATTAAATGAAATTTTAGATTTTATTTGTAAACTAACAAGATCTATGTTTAGTAGCACGCATTTGTTGAATTAATAGCCTTGCTTCGGAAACAACTCACTCTGCAAAATAAACATGAACAATCAGTAAGAATATATACACTCTGTGTATCTTTAACTGTTGAATTTATCAAAGAATATATGGATACTGATATAATGAAGATTATAAATATGAAAGATTTACCATAGTCTTGAAGGTTAGGATGAGTGGGTTGAAGGCGGTAGGGACAATACTGATGAGACGATGAAGATGAAGTAGCAAGCTGAAGAACAGTGCTGCTACTTGGCTGGTCTTCTCCTCCATATATAAATGGTATCGGCCCCATTAGTTGCTGCTGCTGCTGCTCATGAAGTTGCCCACCTCCCATCAACTATAGATATATAAAATGATAATCAATGATCCTCCGTGAAAATTAATTTCTATACTTAAGATAAACGCGATCTAGTATAGGTTTTACTGTGATTTGCTTACCCAATGATACATGTTTCCATTTTCAGTCTGCAACAGTTGTTCCTGCAGTGCAATAGATTAAATCCAGAATGTGTATAACATAAAGAATGAAACCAGTACTTAGAATTTTTTGTTAAGAAACTTAATTCTAGCAGAAATAAGTGAAAAATTCAGTACAAACATAATTGTTTATTAGTTTGGATAACCTTTCTGCGAAGATTTTCCATTTGCTGTTGCATGAGCTGGTTCTGGAAGACCAGAAATTAAACAGTATTATTTCTGATAAATTTTTCATAAATAATAAAAACATTTTCCTTTTTAAAACAAAAATTTCAAAAAAATTATTTAACAGCAGTGAATTTTCTTAAGGTTCATCCAAAACTCCAAATAATAATCAACTCAAACTAAAATGATAGAGATTAATTAATTACCTTTCTTACTCGAATTATGTTCAAGGAGGATTCAAGCTGGTGTTCATGTTTTTGCAACACCTCAAGGGGGAGAGGACCCAAATCCTCAACCAAGTAGTTCCTTATGTTTTGCTCAGCGTTGTGAATCGCTTCCCTTAGCGCCTGCAGCTCCGAATATAGCTCTTCCTGCACAAGGTATGTAATTGCCAACATTTATTCTTCATTATTAGACTTATTAGCTATGCAATTCATGATCAATTTTGATAAATAAAAGAAAAGATATTAACTATTGAGCTTGTAATTTAAATTAATTACCCGGTTATCATGTACTGGGAGCTGAATGCCTTGAACATTCAGATACCTCTGTATAGTTTGCTCTAGACTGTTGTCATTCACACACATACGTAACACCTTTATTAGCTCACACAGTCAATATTTAGAACATCTTCTTAGCTCACACAGTACAAATTAAAAAACACTCGGACCGTGATACTAATGCCATGTAGTCCATATCAAGTTTACAAATATACACAACTGAATGAACTGATTTATAATAACCATTTCATGAATTTCATGAACATTAATGCAACTTTGTTATTAATATAAATACACATGAATTTTTCTATGAATTAAAAGTAGCTGACAAACTGAATTTTGTGAAATGCATACATGCTTTTGAACTTGACATGCCTTGCAAAACATAACAAATTAAAATTCATCTTGCTTAGCAGAAGGACTATCTATCTCTTTATTCGTCATCCTTGTAACATGACTAATAAATTCGATCTAGAAACTCGTTGTAGGATGTACGAATCAAGTTACTGAGAGCTGATAATGGATATACAATGAGGTCAAGAAGACATTTAGGAAAATGAGTCATTTACAAATTGATTGCATTTATGTAAGTTCCACTATAAAATCAAATTAAACTCATAGCAATAAAATCAACATCAAATTGAATTTAGGAAAATGAGTCATTTACAAATTAGAATAATTTGATTAATGCATGTTAGACAACGTATAGTACAAATTGCATCTAGCTAAAAAATTAAATTCATTAAAAAAAGATAACATAAAATTGGTCAAAGATAGAGGTCAATAGATCTGCAGTTAATTTTTTTTTTTTTTTTAAAAAAAAAAAAAAAGTGTGGAAAGTAATCATTTCAAAACCACATGAAAAACATCAGAAAATTGATGAGAGGAAAACCCTAGCTAGCTACATACTGATAAAAATGAATTATCTCACTTTTTATCATAAAAATGAATTTAAATTTCTACTAAATAACACTAGTACAAGAATCCACATATTTAATTAACCTGTTGGAAGATTCTGGAAAAGTATGAAGTTTTCCAGTTCCAGAAAAGATGATGAGGCCAATTTGAGCATCACAAAGAATGGCAAGTTCTTTGGTCTTCTTCATTAGCCCTTGTCGCCGCTTCGAATAAGTCACTTGCCTATTAGTCCTGTTCTCTATTCTCTTCATCTCTATCTTTCCCCTTCCCATGATAATGATGAATTGGTCTTCTTCAAAACAAAGGGAAACATACAAGTTAGAAACATGATCATATCGTATATATGTAAAAAAATTCAAGAAAATTAATATATGACGGGTTTAATATATAATGAAGAAAGTTTATGAGATGTTAAGTAAAAATATGTCAAAAAATAACCACAAAAAATAACTCACAAATTCCAAGGTTTAAGGCAAAATCCATGTTAAGTAAATATGTCAAAAATAACCAAAAAATTTCCAAGCAGACTGATGCAAAACAACCACATTTAATAGCATACTATATAGTATATACATGATCATATATAATAACGAATAGAAACAAATGTGTTGCTAATTAGCTAGGTCGCGTCTTTTACTAATGGTGTAGGGTATCATATGAACATTACAATAATTAACAAGCCATTTGAAGAGATCAGATGATCAATATAGCAGAAAAGTTTTAAAAGCTTACTCTTTTTTGTTTTCTGAATTTACACAAATCAACCCTAATTTGGAAGTTTAATTTCTAATTTTTGATTTCTCTACCTTACTTCTTTAACTCACTTCTACTTCTCAAGAAACCATAAAAAAGGGGAAATAAAGTTTTTGTAAGAATAAATGTTTTCTGCTTGTGAATATGTATGTTTTAAGAGGGGGGTTGAAGCTATTATGTAATAAGAAGAAAAAAAAAAAAAGGGTTTTTTTTTTAAAAAAAAAGGGTAATTTAACAATAATTTAATAGTGTTATATATAGTTCATGTTGTCTATTTAAAGTTATTCACCTATTAATTTTCTGCATTATAGTCTTTCTATTATAGGAAAAAGTAGGGTTGAGTAAAATAAACCTAAGTTAAATTACCTAACCTCTTTCTTTACACCTTTGGTTTGTTTTCACATTATGTGAGAATCAACATCTATCCAACCGACCCTCTCTTCCTTGACTAATTATGTTTAATTTGTTTGATGAAGACATAAAAGTGGAATCATAATCAGACGAGATTGTTTATATACGTTAATTATCCTCCATATAAATAACGCGTTTTCCTGGGTTTAGATTTTAGAACTTTTTCTTTGTGTAACTAATAGTCTTGTGTGTTATGGCCTATGTTGTAACGTGGCATACAAATTACACTATCTCTATTTATGCAACGAGTCACACTTAGAAGAACGAAAGTACCTTGTATAGTGTTTCATTAACCTTCAAAATTAAAAAAAAAAAAAAAAAATTGAAAAATAATAATGCATAGTTTTGGGTTCAAATTTATGGTACAATCAATTTTAATTCACAAGTATAATTTGTGTCTACATAATTCTATTTATGCTCTAAAATCATACTCCACATATAGCAAGCTAGTTACAAGTAATTTCTTGGTAACAATAATTAGCATATAGAAATGACATGCAAGTAAGAGAATTAAAACCAATTAAAACATGAGGGAGACTTGGTATACATTCTAATTATGATTATATATTAATCTTCAAATAACATTCTACTTGGTTTATGTTTATCCATTATCTTTGTCACATTTTGCTATTAAAAACAATTAACTTTTGACTGCTTTGCCACAAAGGTTAGCAAGCCTAAATAAATTACTAATTTAGAAGTCATTTATCACTATAATGGTGGAGAACAAAAGGCTAAGACGGAAAAATTTTTCACATTACCCCAATCCTGCCTTCATTATTATAGACATAACATGATTTATATATTTACTATCTTTTCTAATGGTTGCTTATGTCTCCTTTCTCTAGTCCGAAACCTCAAAAGTTTCTCAAAAAGCGTTGATATTAGCTTATAATTTTGGAATTTTTTGAATTTTTTTTAATCTGAAAATAAAAATTGCCGAAATGTTTACCATAGTCCCTAATACCCTCCGAGAGTCCAATTGGTTGGGTAGAATCTGTAGAACCATACAATTTGTCTTTAATCGACCAATTTACTGGTTTACAACTTGCACCGATTTCATTAACTCAAGCTTACCACAAACATTTATGACAACATATAATTATCATATATGGATCCAAACGGCATTATATGACCTCGAGATGTAACCCCTAAAATATCAATGTTTTTTGACACCGGGCCCCGAAACATTCGAAATTTCTCAAAAAGTGTGGATATTATCCTTCAATTTTGTTATTTTTTAACTATTTTTCGCCCGGATATAAAAATTGTCGAAACGTTTACCATGGTCCCAAATACCCTTCGAGAGTCCAATTGGATGGGTGGAACCATCCAATTTGCCTTTAAACGACCAATTTACTGGTTTACAACTTACACCGATTTCATTAATTCAATCCTACCAAGAACATTCATGACAACAAATAATGAATATATATGGTTCCAAACGACATTATATGACGCCGAATTGTATTCCCTAAAATTTCAAGACTTTTCGACACCGGGCCACAAAGACTCCAAAAATTCTCAAAAAGCGTGCATATTAGCCTTCAATTTTGGAATTTTTTTACTGTTTTTGCACGGAAATAAAAAGTGCCGAAATGTTTACTATGGTCCCTTATACCTCCCGTGAGTCCAATTGGGTGGGTAAAACCATCCAATTTACCTTTAAACGACCAATTTACCGGTTAACAACGTGCATGGAGTTCATTAACTCAAGCTTGCTGCCACGAACATTTATGACAACAGATAATGATCATATATGGTTCCAAACGACATTATATGACCTCGAGATGTATCTCATAAAATCTCAAGCCTTTACGACACCGGGCCTTGAAACCTCCAAAATTTCTCAAAAAGCGTGGATATTAGCCTTCACTTTTGGAATTTTTTGACTAATTTTCGCCCAGAAATAAAAATTTCCGAAATGTTTACCATGGTCCCTAATACACTCCAGGAGTCCAATTGGGTGGGTGGAACCATCCAATTTGCCTTTAAACGATCAATTTATCGATTTATAACTTGCACCGATTTCATTAATTCAAGCCTACCACGAACATTCATGACAACATATAATGATCATATATATGCTTTCAAATGGCATTATATGACTTTGAGATGTATCCCCTAAAATCTCAAGCCTTTTCGACACCAGGCCTCGAAACCTCCAAAATTTCTAAAAAAACATGGATACTAGCCTTTAATTTTGGAATTTTTTGACCTTTTTATACCCGAAAATGTCACCTAATACTCTCTGGGAGTCCAATTGGGTGGGTTAAACCATCCAATTTGCCTTTAAACGGCCAATTTACCGATTGTTTGCACCGATTTCATTAACTCAAGCCTTATATAATGATCATATATGGTTCCAAACGACATTATATGAGCCCAAGATATATCTCCTAAAATCTGAAGCTTTTTCAACACCGGACCCCGAAACGTCCAAAATTTCTTAAAAAGCGTGGATATTGCCTTCAATTTTAGAATTTTTTTTACTTTTTTCACCCAAAAATAAAAATTGCCGAAATGTTTTCCATGGTCCCTAATACCCTCCGAGATTCTAATTGGGTTGGTGGAACCATCCAATTTGTCTTTAAACGGCCAATTTACCAGTTTACAATTTGCACCGATTTCATTAACTCAAGCCTACCAGGAACATTTATGACAATGTATAACGATCATTTAGGTTCCAAACGGCATTATATGACCCCTATGACAATGTATAACGATCATTTAGGTTCCAAACGGCATTATATGACCCCGAGATGTATCCACTAAAATCTCATTTCTTTTCGACACCGGGCCCCAAAACTTTAAAATTTCTAAAAAAGCATGGATATTAGACTTTAATTTAAGAAATTTTTTTTTTACTTTATTCGCACGAAAATAAAAATTGCCGAAATGTTTACCATGGTCCCTAATACCCCCCAGGAATCCAATTGGGTGGGTGAAACCATCTAATTTGTCTTTAAACGACATTTTTACCGATTTACAACGTGCACCGATTTCATTAATTTAACTTAAGCCCACCACGAACATTTATTACAAAAAACAATGATCATAAATGGTTCATAAAGACATTATATGACCTTGAAATGTATTCCCTAAAATTTCAAAAAATTTCTACATCGGGCCCCGAAACATCGAACATTTCTCAAAAAGCGTGGATATTAGCCTTTAATTTTAAAATTTTTGACCTTTTTTCGCCTGGAAATAAAAATTTCCGAAATATTTACCATAATCCCTAATACCGTTCGAGAGTCCCATTGGGTGGGTGGAACTATCCAATTTGCATTTAAACGACAAATTTACCGGTTTACAACTTGCACCGATTTCATTAACTCAATCCTATCACGAACATTTATGACAACAAATAATGATTATATATGGTTCCAAATGGCATTATATGACCTAGAGATGTATCCCCTAAAATTTTAAGACTTTTCTACCTCGGGCCCTGAAACCTCCAAAATTTCTAAAAAAGCGTGGATATTAGTCTTTAATTTTGGAAATTTTTGTCTTTTTTCGCCAGAAAATAAAAATTGTCGAAATGTTTACCATGGTCCCTAATACCCTCTGGGAGTTTAATTGGGTTGGTGGAACCATCCAATTTTCCTTTAAACGGTCAATTTCATTACCGATTACAACTTGCACGGATTTCATTAACTCAAGCCCACTACGAACATTTCTGACAACATGTAATGATCATATATGGTTCCAAACAGTATTATATGACCCCGAGATGTATCTCTAAAAATCTCAAGCTTTTTCAACACAGGGCCCTAAAACCTCCAAAATTTCTCAAAAAGCGTGGATAATTAGCCTTCAATTTTGGAATTTTTTGACTTTTTTGGCCTAGAAATAAAAATTTCCGACATGTTTACCATAGTCCCTAATACCCTCCGAGAGTCCAATTGGGTGGGTGGAACCACCCAATTTGCCTTTAAACGACCAATTTACCGGTTTACAATTTGCACCGATTTCATTAACTCAAGCCTACCAAGAACTTTTATGACAACGTATAATGATCAATTATGGTTCCAAATGGCATTATATGACCCATAGATGTATCCCCTAAAATTTCAAGACTTTTCAACCTCGGGCCTTGAAACCTTCAAATTTTCTAAAAATGCGTGGATATTAGTCTTTAATTTTGGAATTTTTTGACTTTTTTTTCGCCTGAAAATAAAAATTGTCGAAATGTTTACCATGGTCCCTAAAACCCTCTTGGAGTTTAATTGGGTTGGTGGAACCATCCAATTTTCCTTTAAACGGCGAATTTAATTACCGATTACAACTTGCACGAATTTCATTAACTCATCCCTACTACGAACATTTCTGACAACATGTAATGATCATATATGGTTCCAAATTGCATTATATGACCCCGAGATGTATCTCCAAAAATCTCAAGCAATTTCGACACCGGGCCCCGAAACCTCCAAAATTTCTCAAAAAGTGTGGATATTAGCCTTCAATTTTTGAATTTTTTGATTTTTTTTCGGCCGGAAATAAAAATTGGTGAAATTTTTACCATGGTTCCTAATACCCTCTAGGAGTTTAATTGGGTTGGTGGAACCATCTAATTTTCCTTTAAACGGCCAATTTAATTATGGATTACAACTTGCACGGATTTCATTAACTCAAGCCTACTACGAACATTTATGACAACATATAATGATCATATATAGTTCCAAACGATATTATATGACCCCGTGATATATCCCCTATAATATTAATACTTTTCTACACCGGTCCTCGAGACCTCCAAAATTTTCTCAAAAAGCGTGGATATTAGCCTTCAATTTTGAGATTTTTTGATTTTTTTTCGCTCGGAAAAAAAAATTGCCGAAATTCCCTAATACCCTCCGG